TTGACATCAGCACTGTCATAAACGGCCGCCAAATATTCATCTGTGTTGGAATAATCCAAGCCGAGAACGCTGTTCCCAACACGATCCGGTTTAAATTTGATAGGCAAATACTCGCCCGTGTGCACACTGAAGAGACGAATGAAGCCAGTGGTCATGCCAATGGCAATTTCGCCACCACCGGCCTTCGATATTGCGCCACATGAAATGTCATCGACCTGTCGCTTCTTAATTCGTTGAATCACCTCTTTGTTGTCTTTATTGGTCGTTCGCATCAATTCAAATCCAAACTTTTTGTTAAATTCCACAAAGCAATTTTTGCCTGGGATCACTTGAAAATCGACCGCTTCGTTTGCAACATGCGAATGTGTGTACTTTGAACAAAGAGTGGGAAATGACGTCCACTGTGTGTTCTTTGCTGTCGAAATGACATCAAACATTTTGGTTCTGTTGTTGCTGTTGTTGGTTTTCTTTTCTAACTAAACCCAAATTCTACGATCGTGTCAACTGAACACGCACTACGTATAACAATATCAATAACAATAACAAATTCACATTTAAAATTAAAATCGAATGAATTAAATAAACGGCATGGAAATACATGTATGATGAAAACGGTAAAAATACGTTTCGCCTCGGACAGCTTATTCGAAATGAGTGGACTGAGTTCAAGTTGTGACATTTCGTGCTCGGTTTTGTGTGTTGGATATGAGACTGGTTGACAGTTTGCACAAACGAGGGATATTTTTTTTTTGGTGACGAACGTTCAGTTTGGTTTTGGGCTACTTTTGAATTTAAATCCATGGAAAATATTTTGAAAAAAGAAAAAAGTTTTTTTCGCAAAAAATTCCAAAAACTTCACTCATTTCGAGTCGTCATAATAATTTCTTCCCCCTTCGCTATGTTCACACAATCAAATTGGCGAAAATATTTCCCGTGTGACATGCGGCAACACTGCTGTTTCACATTGAACCGATTGATGGGACATTTCCTCCATTTCTGAGTGTCGTGTTTATGTGAGTATCGGTCGAATCTCGTAGTGAATGCGATATGTAAGTCGTGTCAAATTTCTTTGTACAATAGACCATATACAATACTACAGCAAAACGTCAACATTCACTTAAATAATTATATGGACGAAGTAGAAAAAGGTTGCTTTTTTGCTCGTCCTCTTTCTTTTCTATTGCACCAAACGCCAAAAAAAAAGAATTTGATTAGGTGTGTTCAATTGAAACAATTGCAGTAAAAAGTTGCGACGACATTTGAATTTTGTGATAGAAATAATAAAAAGAGGACAATTTAATAAAATTCGATTAAATTCGTATTATGAGATTCCGTCTACTCGAACACAAATCAATGTGTGATGTTTGTTTGTGTGTGGGACATCAAAGTGATTAATAATTTTGTGTGAATTCAATGCCAAAAGAAATCACAAACAGCGAAAAACGAGCCATAAATATTATCGACTAGCGTTAAACAAACGAATTTTATCATCAGAAAATAAATCAAAATCAAAAAAATTGCATCCATTCATCGATTCTACACGGAATTTTGCTCGAAAATTCTCATCGATTTTGTGTGTCTATAAGTAAACAGAGAGAAAGACAGAGACAGAGGCTAAAATCACCATGAATCGTACGGAGGGTTTAGTGCGACGAAATAAAAGTCGTGCCACTGAAAATGGCACTTCCGAGGCAAATAGCTCAACAGCGAACAGTGTCGATGAAAATGATGTGATCATTAATGACCGCGACAATGATATCGACGACACAGATTCAAAAGAAACACGACTCACACTGATGGAAGAAGTGTTGCTGCTAGGTTTAAAAGACAAAGAGGTAACCAAAAGAAAAAAAATTTGTCAAATTACATGGTGATGATGATTGAATTTTCCATTTCATCTTAATGACATGGACATTTGGTGTATGTGTTTGTGTGTGTGCGACTAATTTAGTGGCAAGTTGTCCGAAAACAATTAATTAAATACCCGACCCAAATTTTTTCGATAATATTTGAACGAAGCAAACGAACCGGCTGAAAAAGAACAAATACGACACATGAAAAATGTAAATAGATTGTGTGCTAATTCTAAGACCGCTAAGCGATTTGCTGACTGAATTGCTTCTATTTGAACATGTGTTTTACTGATTTTATCGCTTATCGCAAGGCACACATTTCAGCCGACGACTACGACCACTGCAACTTTTATTTCTTTTAAATTGCGATTGTTTTATACGTTCTCGCATTACGTCGAATGACTTCACCATCCAACACATCAATTGATCGGCAGACCACTTGCAAAGTGTTTGTATTGATTACATGAATGTCTCTTTAGCGACGTATAGCAATATATATTGTTAAATCTTGTCGATCAATTTTTCTTCTTCTTCAAGAATCAATGGAAAACCGTGCGTCGCAATATTATGCCTGAAGTTAGTGTATCGGAAGCGATGCTTGATAGCGTGTGTTCTGCATAAATTATTACCCCTTCCATCGCTGTCTCTATTTACATTTCTCGTTCTTCCAACGATGCAATGACCGTCAGCCCGTTCAATAAAAGCGAAACTTCGACTGTAGACAAGAGAACCGTCAACAAAAGCCATAACCTGTTTGAAATATGCCGTTCGTTCATTAAGTAGCATTGTACGATTCATTAACACGCACTGATTACAACATTTATGCTATTTATCAATCTACGGCTGTTTTTCTTATTCATTATCGCGCATCATTCTATTTGGGCGCACGGAAATGTAAATACAACAGTACAACACAAAAAACGTGACGTTTAATATGAATAACATAGGAAATCCCTGGCATTTTTGTGTATGTGTATGTCTTTCAATGATTACTTGTTGATTCTGTAATTTTGATTACATCGATACCTATAGGCGGCTGTAGTTGCATTGCGTTCAAACAGTAAACCACATTTTGTATCCATTTTTTTGCCATCGCAGCCAACGTAAATGAAATATAACACGTTTTATGGGCTGAAACCACATGCATACATTAAAATAGTTTCTTTTTTTTGTCAACCAAGTCGTTTAAAAAAAAAGTACGTTCTATTGTGCTTACTTGTTGCTAGTAGTAACTTGCTAGTACAAAAGAGCCTTAATTCCTTATCTTTCGGAAGTCAATGAAAATGAAAACGGCTGTTCCTTATCATCACCATTCCGGGCTGTCATTTTTTGTCACGATTCTTATCATTTACTTCATCACAAAGAATAATGCTTAACCAATTTGGCGTTGGGCCATTTATCTGTTGTTCGTTCGCAGGGTTACACATCTTTTTGGAATGACTGTATATCAAGTGGACTACGTGGCTGTATTCTCATTGAATTGGGTTTGCGCGGTCGAGTCGAATTGGAACGTGCCGGTATGCGACGAAAAGGGCTAACATCACGCAAAGTAATCCTAAAATCGGACACACCAACCGGCGATGTGCTACTGGATGAAGCTCTAAAACACATGAAAGAAACGGAACCACCTGAAACCGTACAAAGTTGGATCGAATATTTGAGCGGCGAAACATGGAATCCGCTGAAATTGCGATATCAATTGAAAAATGTACGCGAACGCTTAGCCAAAAATCTCGTTGAAAAAGGCGTTCTGACGACGGAAAAGCAAAACTTTCTACTCTTCGACATGACAACTCATCCGCTGAGTGACAATGTAGTTAAATGTCGTTTAGTGAAAAAGGTAACAAATACTGTCATCAAAATCGAAAATTAAATGTCGAGAAAAATATCGAGAAAAAAAATGACAAAGATGCCAGAAAATTGGTTTTAATTATTTGATTTTGTTTTTCCTTCCATTGAACCAGATCCAAGATTCGGTGTTGACCAAATGGATAAACGATCCACAGCGCATGGACAAACGAATGCTGTCACTGATATTTTTAGCTCATGCCAGTGATGTGCTAGAGAATGCATTTGCACCGCTGAACGACGAAGACTACGAGCTGGCAATGCGTCGAGTTCGTGAATTATTGGACTTAGATTATGAAAATGCGGCTAAAGCAAGCACACAAGAAATTATGTGGGCGGTGTTCATGGCCTTCACGAAGTAAATGGCGATGTCAAAACTAATTGTTCTTTTGATTTTCTTTTTTTTTAATGGAATTTCTTTATGATTTTCTTCCTCCAATTGATTTATCCTTCTTCTATCTATCTATATATTGTTAATTTTGCCACTGGAACTATCCCCGATTAGTGCTAATCAACTCTCCAACTATTGAATACAATAACTTAGTTTTTAACAATGAGAATGTCTCTTATTCAAAATAGCATCCGATTGAGATGCTTGTTTGATCTATGTTCAATAAATGGAACCCGTTAAAAATGGTTTTGATTCGGTTTCATGTGTCATCGTCCAAACGACGGGGAATTCGTCTCCATGTTAAGGAATGTGAATGAAAGTCTCCATGTCCGTTCACTTGAAAAAAAAAAACATTTGTTTGTGTTTTAGTTACATTTGAGCAAAATCAGAGATAGAGGACGAAATAGTGTTGTAGCACCCATTGTGTTTTGAAATTTTGTCACACATGTGTTTTCCCCGACCCCATCAAAATTTGCAAGAAATAACATAATCGATTGTCGTGGTCTTTGAAGCGCAACAGAATTTGACAATGAAACAAACAAACAAAACGGACAAATTGACATTTCCAAATAAGCGATAGAATTTTTGTTTTTCATATTTCTTTCAACTAGTCCTAGTTACACGAATCTTTTAAAATCAATGCCGATTTCTTCAATAAATCTGGGAAAATTATTTCGTTTAAAAAACACTTTTTATTTAAAAAAAAAAAAAGAATTAATTCTTTACCTAATAATAATTTTATTTTTCTTTTGATGCAATACACATATATATATTTTGAAGTGAAAGAGAGAAAATTGTATATAAAATAGGAAATAAAAAAAAAAAAAAATTATGGAAAGATGGACGTTTTCAGAGCAATTGTATGAATTCAGCCAACTCTACACCAAGTCATGCAACGATTTAAACTTTCGACTTCTCTTTCACATTACAATATTATGATTATGATGAAAACGATTTTAAAATAATGAGAGAAAATTAAGAAAAAAAGAAACAATGCAATTTTCTATTTTCATAGGATTATATATCAAGAATTTAGTTTTTAATTCCGAATGCCGAATTTAATTCCATTGATACGAATTAAAATGGTATTTGACATAATTTATCCTGTAATTTGTAAAGCATTCATTCATCATTTTACATATATGTATTGCATTCATTCCGCTTGATGATTGTTATATATGGCAACGGAGAATGGACAAGGATAATCTGTTTTTAATTTTAATTAATTCCAATTTTATTCAAACAGTTAAGTTCTTTCGGTTGATTTCTATCACACAATTCAATAAAACTTTCTTGAAAATCATATAAATAATTTGGATATACTTTCTTCTCTATATTAATCGAAAATTTAAAATCATTTCTTTTCCTGAATGAACGATCAGTCAAAACAGAAACATTGAACAAAATTTAACTTTAACTAGTTAATTGAACAAACTTATGTCAACTTCGTAGAGTCTGGCAACAATTTGAAATACAATAATGGTTACGAGTTGTAAATGACTTTATATACAAACAATAATTAAAATCATGTTTCCAACATAGAGAACCAATAACGATTAAGGTACAATAAAATTGGAGTTAATGAAAATAGAGTTTTTTTTCGTTTTAATTCACATCAAGATCCAAACGAGAAATAAATGTTATATTTTCTTTTTGTTAAAATAATTTTTTTCGGACGAAGGACACTTCAAACGACAAACATTTCACATAAGTTGTGAACGCATCCGGAGAACTGAAATAACAACATTGAGCATTTTAATTAGTAACAGCGTGATTGTACTGTTGATATGTTAACTGTAACTTGAATAAAGTGAATGTATTAAAACATTGATTTTTTTTTCAAATTTTTCTTTATTTTTTTATATCATCATTACAGGTGGAACCCATTTTATTTAGTATATTATATTTGATAAATATCTCTGAATTCATTACAATATTTTGATACGTTTAAAGGCTTACCAATAACACCGTAATATGTAAAAATACAGATAAATTGAATATTTTACTTTTAAAACCATCGCAAGTAAATAAGCACTCATTTCCAGCAGTAGGCTTTTAACTATCGTAAATCAAAAAAAAAATATAAAAAACTATTTGGTTTCAACATTTTGCCAATATTTACTTTTATTTATTTTCGAATGGTAATCCAAAGAATTTTATAGAAAGATGAATCGAGTTTTAAAAAAATCAATTTAATCTCAAATCTTGTTGTAGAAAAACAGTTGCTCCATTTGAGGCCCAACGGAGTTCGTCTTAAATTTTATTTCAATACCATGTTCCAGTTGCACTTCATCGCGCAATCTACATGGAGTATGAGATGAAAATGCATAAGTATTATGACAACGTAAGCTTATACGATAAAATGTTCCATCATTGATAACAATATTTTTGGGCAAAACTATATCACATTTTTCTGAACGTCCTTTCAAAATCAATTTTTCCATCGTTGGAAAGTGGTGTCTCTCATAAATTTGATATTCAAAATTAGAGCCAATGTCAGATTGTTGCATTTGAACGAAAAAAAGTGTCACTATTTGAGCGTTTATATGGATTAAATTGGTTTTTTTCCAGCCGTCGGTCACATACTAAAACTTGGCCTGGCTGTTAGTTTGTATGATTATTCTGAAGTAGTTGTGCATCAACGGAACATGATTGTTTTGGCAACGATGTTTGAATGAACAGAGTTTCAAGTTCTTTTGCGGCAAAAAATCCTCTGTATGAGCAAACATGCTGTGAAATCTGTTGCGTAGTTAATTTGTCAAAGGGGATTTGGCTAAATACATCTTCCAGTTGATGTCTTAAATTCTTCGGGCTTGTATCCAAATGATTGCGATTACATTGGGCTTCACTCTATTCCATGCCTGCGATCACCGTCTTGAAAGCGCTCCAATCTGACGATACCAGCGCCAGTATTTTGCTCAAGAATTTGGTGTAACAATCCAGGAAACTTTCCGATTTTACTATTGCCACTGCATTTGATTTAATCTGTTCTTCGCAAAATTTGCGTAAGTTGTCTTGTTCCAACAATTGAGCGATGCCATAGCCCCAGCATATATCGTCCATAGTTAATGATTTTTGAAATGCAGTTTCGCATGGTATTAAAAACTCGTTCATTTCGTATTTCTTGCATAGATTTGTTACGTAAACAATATATTCAGACGATAGACGCACCTCGTTTAAATAGAAAAATTGTAAAAATTCCCCAAATGCGACAGGTGCGTCAACAATCGGCACATCACTTTGTTCTGGTAATGAGCCGAAAAACATTGTGTCGAATACTGGACTATCGAACGATAGAATGATTTTGTGCGCTGGAACCTTCTCGGGATGATCAGTATCTGC